CCTTTGGTGACTCTGCTGTCCGTATGGCCTGAGCTTCTTTGTTCTTTCTTCTCTTCATACTGAGGCTCATTTTGAGATGTCCATGATCCACTTTTTCATCATCTTGAGCAATTTCCACTTGCCTCCAAAACAGCAATTGTCATATTGTGGTAGTTATTTGCAAAGGTGGCTGTTTCCTCATGGCACCAGTTATTGCCAAAGGTAATGTTGGAGTTACAGTAGGGCTGCATTTAGAAATGAAGTAGACTCAAGTAGGACAGTGATGAAAAACCCTAATTTAGAAGGAAATGGTAGGCAGGCAGGCATTAAAAAGAAAGATTGATAGGAGAAGAGAAGGATATGTATTGGATGTTGAGGATAAGCCTGGGGGTGATATTATTTATCATGTTAATTTTTATCTTCCAATATGGTTTAAAGGGATAATGATATCTGAATTACCTAGTTTAGCATAGGTATCTTATTGAAAATTAAAAAAGGGGACCCCTGGGTGGCACAGCGGTTTGGCGCCTGCCTTTGGCCCAGGGCACGATCCTGGAGACCCAGGATCGAATCCCACGTCGGGCTCCTGGTGCATGGAGCCTGCTTCTCCCTCTGCCTGTCTCTGCCTCTCTCTCTCTCTCTGTGACTATCAGAAATAACTAAAATTTTTTTTAAAAAATTTAAACTTTAAAAAAAAAACAAAAAAGAAAATTAAAAAAAATAATTTACTCTGTGGTTTCTCAAATGTACCTGATGACCAAAATCATCTGCAATTAGTATAAAAGATACAAACTATCAGGTCTCTTTCCTTGAAGTTCTAGTTAGTTGCTGGTGTTAGTTGCCCAGAAATTTGTATTTTAAATAAGTGTGCTTCTGGTGAACCTGTGCATGCTAATGTTTGAGAACCAATGATATAGGCTAGAATACTAAGAAAATGAATGTTTCTTTTCTTCTTTCAGTTTTTATATTCCTTGCTTCTTTTTTATATCAATAGAACCCACGGATGAAGACACAATTATAAAGTATGTGTGACTAAATATGGCCAATGTGATATGTGTAGAGCTGACACGGACAACTTCCTGGTGGCATGGGTGCATCCCATCAATGATCATGCAGCTGAGCACCACACTCGAGGTTTGAGGGAGCAGCAAGATGGGGGAGCCCAAGTCCCTGGATTATTTCATGGACCAAAGCCCTTTCATATGAGATAGAAATACATTTCTAACAAGCTATTTCAGATCTTTGTTACATATTATCAAATTTAAGACTTAAATAATATAACATATTATAAAATAGTTTTAAAAATGTAGCCTGGTAAAAATATAAATTACTATGTGAAGAAAGAGTAATTAAAATTATATAATTTTTGGGCAGCTCCAGTGGCTCATCAGTTTAGTGCCACCTTCAGCCCAGGGCATGATCCTGGAGACACAAGATAGAGTCCCATGTTGGGCTCCCTGCACGGAGCCTGCTTATCCCTCTGCCTGTGTCTCTGCCTCTCTCTCTGTGTGTGTCTCTCATGAATGAATAAATAAAATATTAAAAAAATAAAATAATATAATTTTAATTAAAATTAAAAGTAGAAACCAGAACCCTAAATCATAAGTTATTTACATAAAGTGATTATCTCTGAGACATTCATTTGGTTCCAAGTTTCTAGGAGGCAGAAGTTAAAAGGTATATATGATTAGGTATACTTTCTCCAATATTATAAAACAAAGCTCTGCTTATTTCTTAACTCTGAAATAGCTTTTCAAATATTGCTATATATGGGGGACACTAAGATAGGCAATGGAAAGAGACCTCAGCAATTGCATTAAAGGTTTCACAGTATTGTTTCTTGGTGTGCTCTTTAAAAACAATGATCAAGGTCATTACTATCCTGGAATCAACATTGTATAAGTAATAACAAATATTTCTGATGATTTAAGTATAAAATATAGCATTATTACAGTGCTGATTTTTATACATTTATCAGAATCCTTCCTTTCTTTTCAAATGAAACTTTGGTAGAATCCCAGTATATAAAACCAAACTCCCTTGATTTATGTGAGACTAAGAGACTCTGAAATCTGCCACCTTAGCCTGCCCTTGTTCTTAAAACCTAACTGTAGAATTCAAGAATACAATGTGGAAGTCCTTGATTTACAGGAATGGGTGCCTACAGATGCTTCAGACCATATGCCATAAATATCACTTTTCTTCAGATGGACTTTGATAAGATTTGGACAGCTAACCCTTTGAGATTATATTCCTTGGCAAAACCCCATGCATTTATGTAGATTATGAATACTGGCAACAGCAAATTCCAGAAAAATTATGAAACGTTTAGACAGTCTCTGGTGTATTTTGCTAATTTTTATAGGAATATGGACTCCGGTTGCTTGGTGATTTAATTTAAAGTGATAATTCACTGGCCAGAATAGATTGGTTTAATCCTATTCTTCTAAATTAGCTTAAGAACTTGAATGTACTTATTAAAAATTTTAGACATCTGCCAGCCTGGAAAAAACAGAGGCATATACAAAAAGAAGTGCTGGAACAGTGAAAAGGAAAATGGAAAATTAATTCAGAGGATTTGGAATTGTTCTAAAGTAAAACTCATTTTTTAGATGGAAATACTTAATGGAGCTAACAAGATTTTTAGGGAGTGATTTCTTGATTGATCCCAGATTTTGGAGATCTTCATTCCAAATCTTTGTCTGAGGTAGTTTTTAAAACCATGGAAATAGAGTTGGTAGCTTAGTAACTAATACTGCTTTGGAGATTAACATTTTCAACCAGGGCACCTTTGTATTCACAAGGAATATAGAATCTACAAAAAGAAAATGCAGCTTGAAATTCAAAGCAGACATTTGGCTTGCTATATTGGGTTAATTAAGGATAAAGGGGAATGAAGACATCAATAGAATTTTGTCACTTAAGAGTTTGTTTTGTTACAGTTGAAGATAATATTGTTTCATAGGACCAAGATAAGGCTACATGAGCAGAATTTATTTAGAAGATTCTTGAATAATTATTTTGTACATGATCCTCAGAGAGTCTAATTATTCAAATTTTGAGTCGCAGTGAAGCAGAACTTGAAGACTGGTGGCTCACATGTTATTCCAGTATATAGATTTGTGTGCACGTGTGTGTGTGTGTGTGTGTGTGTGTGTGTGTACATGGAGCAGGCACATGTTTTTAAAAAAATTGACTTTGAATCCCCTTTTGGAATAGCTTATACTATCTCTTGGGCTCACCACTGGGCTCCACCATTTCTATTATCTCTTTTAAAAAATAAAATAAAAATAAAAAAGATTTTATTTGTTTATCTATGAGAGGCATAGAGAGAGAGGCAGAGACTCAGGCAGGAAGAGAAGCAGGCTCTCTGCAGGAACCTGGACACAGGACTTGATTCTGGGACTGACCCTGGGATCACAATCTGAACCAAAGGCAGATGCTCAACCTCTGAGCCACCCAGGCTTCCCTATTCTCTCTTTTTTAAAAAAGATTTTATTTATTTATTTGAGAGACAGGGAGAGGGAATCAGCAGTGGGGAGTGGTAGAGTGGGGGGGGGGAGAGAGAGAGAGAGAGAGAGAGAGAGAGAGAGAGAGAGTGTCTCCCTGTTGAGCAGGAAGCCCAATGTGGGGCTTGATCCCAAGACCCTGAGATCATGACCTGAGCCAAAGGCAGACACTTAACCTACTGAGACCCAGGTACACACACCATTTCTGTTCTCTTAACACTTCTGACTGCATTACAGTATTATTAATTATTCTGAGGCTGTTTGTAAATTTATAACCCCTCAGGTTGATTACTATCTCTGGTATCTGAAAGGAAGTGGAGTTGCTTACACTTTTTCTTTTGACTCTTCCCAGAAGTGAGTTGTCCCATTATGTGGTGGGTTTGAGGGCAGTGGTATGCCATAAAAATTCCTGACAGCCCCTTACACATATTTCTTCCCAAGTTATGATCAATGACCCTTACTTATGTTGGTAGTTTGAAATCATTCCTGGCAATACTTACACCATCAAATCTGCAACTGTTACAAATGGTGGGATGAGGAGGTGAGCTAGTTGATAAATATTCACCAAGACACCACTGGTTTGAGGGTGTACCTGGGCACTACCAAGTCTCCTCTTAGAAAGTGGTCATTGACTATTTGCTTTCAGAGTAAACATTTAGTTGATGCATTTAGCTCACCAGATATAGAAGGATGATTTTCTTCTGACAATAAATATATATTAGACTGCAAGGAATAGGAGAAATATAAGAAAAGAAGGGGGTGGAGATGCTAGAAATTAAGATCACAGGTTCTGAACCCAACTCTGACATTTTCTAACCATGTAGCCATAGGTGTTATTTAAGCCCACTAAACCTTGATTTCTGTATAAGTAATATGAGAACTAAAACAGAATGTTTCCAGCTGATTGCTTTGAGCACAGTGGCTGGCACATAGGAAACCCTCAATAAACACTAATTTTTATAATTGTATTACCTAGCAAATGTTTCGTCTGCATCATCTTATTAAATTCTGAGAGAGCACCATGATGTAGTAGAATAATTACCATATTTCAGATTAGAAAACAAAGATTTAGAGGTTAAATCACATCCATGATTGCACAAATGTTATGTGGCAGAGCTGGTTTTTATTGTTATTATCACCTAGGTCTGCTAGATTCTATAGCATGATAACCTGTTCAGGAAGCTTAAAATTTTCTGTCTTGTTAGTTATGAGACAATTGCCAGAAACAACAATGTAGGTCTAAGATTGGCTACCATAATACAGACAGAAAATTACTAGTTTTATCAATCAATTCTTCCTGCAAAGCAAACTGCCCCAAAAACATGCATTTCTATCACTTTGTAGGTGATGTTTATTCTACTGGTCTGGGACCCACTCTGAGAACTACTACACTGATGTATTTTAACTAAGGTTTGGCCAATACCTCGAAAGACAATGAATGGTGTCTTAGTCTGTTCAGGCTGCTATAAGAAAATACCAGACTGGGTGGCTCATAAATGGCATACTACTCACAGTTCTGGAGGCTAGAAGTCCAAAATCATGGTGCCAGCTTAGTTCGATGAGGGTCTTTTTCTAGGTTGCAGACTTGTTCTGTATCCTCACATGGTGGAAGGAGCTAGAGAACTCTGTGGGATCTCTTTTATAAAGAGTAGTAACCCCATTCATAAGGGCTCCACCCTCGTGACCTAATAATTTCCCAAAGGCCCGGCCTTCTAATGTCATCACATCAGGTGTTATAATTTCAACATGTGAATTTTGAGAGGACATACCATGCAGACCATTGCAAAAGAGAATGGGATAGGAATACATAGGAACACGTTGGGACATAGGTCCCAAAGCAACTTTTTGGAGAGAATAATCTAAAGAGAAGAGTAAAAAGAACCAGGAGTATTGGACACTAAAGTCGGGATAGAGATCCAAAAATCAGAAAGTAAATGAAGCCTAAGCAGGCAGGTCAATGAGCAAATAGCAGTATCTGTGGAAGCTTGCATGGGGCCAAATGGCCTCAAGAAGGTCCAGATGCAAGGGTCATGTCTCCAAACATAGGAGAGCAGAGAGCTCAGAAGCAAGGATCAGGAAAGCAATTGGAAGACACTGCAGGGCAAGATATGCTCTCATCTATGTAATAGCTGGGACCCTAAAAATCAATGAGAGTGATCTGAGGTACCTGAGCTAGTGCTACAATACTAGTGGCTGCAGTTAAATTATGACAGGGGCTTCTCCTAGGCTCCTTCTCTTACACTGTTCCTTCCTTCCTTCCTTCCTTCCTTCCTTCCTTCCTTCCTTCCTTCCTTCCTTCCTTCCTTCCTTCCTTCCCTCCCTCCCTCCCTCCCTCTTCCTTTCTTCCAGAACACTTAACATAATTCCTGCTACTTGAGCCTCCTGTGGTTACTCTGAGAATTAATTTGCCCTGATCCTCATGTGTGTACTTCCTTGCTTATCCCAATAGTTGGCTTTCATCCCCATATTCACCCACACATGGATATTTACTGAATGCCTCCTATGCAACTGCTCTTATTGAAGTCTAGAAATTCATAGTCCCAGAGTTCAGATGAGATTTAGTCTAGTGGGGAATTGTGAATTGTGTTTCCTGCCCAGGTTTTAGGGTATGATATCGACAAACTCTTCATCATGAGAAGTCCTGATTTGTCAGGCATCCCCCTAGACCTTTTCCCAATAGTCCTTATCTTATGCCATCTTTTTAAAGTAAAGCTGCATCACATTGTACTAGTCACTGTGCATGATTTCCTTTTCAGCTGAGAAGCGAGAAGTGAGCCAATTAAGAAGTATTAAGGTAAAAACTGTCCTGTTGAAGACAGTTATGGTTTTGAACCTCAAGCCTCCTATTAACTATGGCATGGGATGGAAATGTACCTCCCAAGCCCCAATTTCCTTATCCATTGAAATAGGATCCAAACATCTACTCACAGTGTTGTTTTAATTATAGAAAGAAGTGTTGCATATAAAGTGCCTAGCAGAGCATCTAACACACAGTTCAGAACATTCAGAAAAATGTCACTTAAACAATGGGGTTTTATGTTGTCTCATGGCAGAAATCCAGCAATGGGAAGCTCAGGCTTCTCCTCACTCTGCCAGACTCTGTGTGTCACCTTTCACTCTTGGCATGTTTCCTCATGGTTGCAAGGTGACTGTCACTGCTTGAGGACTGGACCTACTGAAAGACAAAAAGGAAGATGCTGGGTGAGAGAAATGTCTTTGTGGGTCTTGCTCTTTTAATCAGGGTGTAAAAATTGACACCCAGAGCCTCCCTGTGGAATTCCCTTTATATCTCCTCTACTGGCAAGTAAAGCTGGAAACTTGGGTAGCTAGTGTTTTCAGATCATCATGAAGGGATGGGGATGACCACTAGAACAGGAGGAGGAAGTGGCTTGTGCTTGACAACCTTCAGTATCTGCCACATATGCCAAAATAAAAATGGATTTTATCTTTCAGATTTTCTGAGAGATAGTTACTAATTAAATTGTTCAAAGTGCTTCATTTTATCTTCCTCATATGTTTCAGGGCCCTTATGCAAGCATTGTCTGTTCAGTGGAAAACTCAACTGAGTAGGCTTACTGTGCATATGACACTATAGATTAATTCTAGGAAATTAAGAACAGACACCTGGCTTTCTGATGGAGAGACTGTTAAAATCAAGTATCCTTCTGTTAGTTTTGTTTTACTCCTTTGATAATATTTTACAGTTTCCTTTTTATTATTGCAAACCTTATAACTTGAGAAGCATTCACTAAGCATTTATATGCCATGCATGATAGTGGGCAACTTGGTGAAGACCCAGAGGAAAAAAACAATCCATCATTATGCCCTCAAGAAGCTTACCATCTAGTAGAAATAAGGCAAAGAGGAATGAAGTGGATGAAGCCAGAGTATCATGGACAAAGAAGATGAGAAGTTTACAAAGGAAGGAGGCCAGTCAAGTAAACACCGAGGCTTGGCTCAGGCATCTTTCTTATTCCTAGTATGCAAGGGATGGCCAAAGGAAGGTGATAGTGGTGATGACTTGTATATTGTTTCCTTGACTTCATTCCCCACCACTAACCCAGCTCCTGAGCAAACTGGGGTAGTTATAAATACAGCAGAGTGGTCATGCTGTTGGAACAATTTATGAACTAAAAAAATAGTTAAGTAAACTTGCAAGATCTTTGCCCATTATATTGTATATAACTTGAAGGTAGGAAAGGTATCTTATTTACCTTCCTCTTTTGTTCTGACACATTGATAGGTGCTATTTTGTTACACGAGCAGTAAAAGAAAGGATCTGATCCCATGGTTACTGAATTTGATCTTGTTCTAAAATATTACTCATATTATAAACATGATATTTCCAGGAGAACCTTGTAACATCTGGGACTGAAAAGAGAAAAACATGAGAGAAAAAGGAAGGAACAAATAGAGATGGAGGGTAGTAACTTAAAGTAGTTAAAAAAAAAAAAGCCAAAACAATCCTTGGAACTGAAAGATTCAAAACAGAAATATCATCTCTTGATTTTTAAAATCTTCAATTCTCATCCCAGTCTATCAAGCTTTCTGCATATTAAATAGTGTCTGCTATATGCAGTGACCCCTTTTACAATGGTATTATTTAAAGCTCTGCCAGTTGTTCACTCACAGTTTGCAGCTCATGCCACATGTTCCATGAGTGAATAAAATACCACTAAGATGTTTACAATTTATCGAGGGGGGAGAGATGGTCAAAATCTGTACCACAACATTTGATTGAATTAGCTTCCAAAAATTTTTTTTAAAAAATCAAGATGGCTTCCAATGAAAGTTGAGTCATCAATTTAATATGAAGTTTTCATGAAAAAGTAATGCTTTTTTCTAAAGCTACTTGACATTTGTTTGCATTTATCCATAAAATTATGTTCAACCTTTTCCCTACAATACAATTAAGGGTAGATCTAAGTCTCCTTTGTGTGTAGAAGCTTGTGGCAATTAACAGTTATGCATAGCTTCATGTCTTCAGGCTATTTTTAATAAAGTGTGCCATGATTTTGAACTCTGGTACTTTTAGGATGAAAAGCATAGTTTCAAGGACTATAGAAAATACTAGATTTTCATCATCATTTTCTTTTGGCAAGACTCTCAGTTTGGTCCTATGGCATCACCAACACAGTGCCCAGTTCCCACAGTAGTCAAACATCAGTTTGTTTTCCTAAAATCTAGGTTATTTAGTCTTAAGTAAGACCATCTGCAGGACATCAGCTGTCTAGTTCACATGGGGCTACATCAAACCCAGTCCAGTTCCTAATTAATCTTTTCTCAATCAAAAAAGAAATTTCATAGGAAACAAACTCAGCCAGGACTCCCTTGGTACACATGTAAAGTCCCTGGCATGAAGTGGGTGCTCAGGAAACGGCCGATCTGCTAAGAAAATGAGGCCAAAGAGGGATTAAAATCTCAGTCCTTAGGATAAGTCCAGAATTAGTGCTCTTTTTGATGGAAAAATTCATCTGAAAAATTTAATTGAGTACATTTTCTAGGCATTAACATGCTTTTATAAACAAATCCATCAGTAGGAACCTTCCAAATGAATCAAACCATTCTCATAAATAATCCTTGAAATTCATATGGGCTTAATAAATAGTGGAAAAATTCACTTTAAGTTTTGCCAAATTCCAAATATTGGCAAAAAAAGTCACACAACTTTTGATTAACACAAAACAATCTAGATGTATCCACATATAACAAGCTAAAAACATGATATAAATGTTTAATGACTATGTTTAGAAATTATCATAATTATTTGTATGAAGCCTACTCATGGTTTTTGCTTTCATATCACAGACACTTTTCTGAGAAATATTGTTAATATATTTTGAATTTCTTTTTCTCTCATGTACAGTAGGCATAAAAATATTTGCTTGTGGTGTGTCTCATTGCCTTGTACTTTTTAAAACTGTTTTCAGATGTCAATCTGTGTAATGTGATAACTTACCATAAGGATTTCATGAAATGTTTTTTGTTCTTTCAGAAGACCAATGCAGATTTGTATAAATATTTGCTGAAAATACTACCCTCTGTGCAGGACTAAATGACTAAGGCAGGGGAGGGAGTGAGGGAGGGAGGGAGAGAGGAGAGAGAGATAAAGAGAGAGAGAGAGAAATAGAGTAATCAATGTATTGCCTCTCCTGAATGTTGAAATTCAACAAAAGAATATAATCCAGGCTTGAAAGTATTTTCAATGTCAATCTGGTCCAATTATTATCTACTGTGTAAATCTCACACCAATGCATCTTGAAAGTAATTTTCCAGGCTTTATATGGATATTCCCAAAGACAAAAAACAGAGTACTTTATCCTATTTCACACAGATATGATGTTATAAAGTTTTTCTTATAGTATGGGTCAAAAACTACCTCTCTGAAACTTCTTACCATTGGTCACTCTTCTGTTCTCTAAATCATGTAGAATAAGGCTTTTTTTTTCTTATGTAACAATCCTTCAAATGATTTAATAAAGCTATTATATTTTTAATGGATTTTCTTTACAATTATAATTTTTCTTTTTTCCTTCCTTTTTCCTCTTCCCTCCCTCCCTCCCTCCCTCCCTCCCTCCCTCTCTCCTTCCCTCTTTCATTT